ATGTCAATAAATAATGAATTATTATTAGTTGATGGTCTGTTCATGTGAGCCGGGCTGGCCGAATTTGACGGGCCAGTTTATTATTTCATTCACATGAGGCGGGCTGGCCCGACAAAGTAAAGTAATAATTATTTACCCACGAGGCATAAAAGTCCAAATCCCAATTATTGTTGTTACTTTTATAAGCTGAAAGAAAGTCAATGATGTTATGCATTAGTCTATGGTCCACGGAAAGTTGTTCTTTTGCTTGCCTTGTATTTTGCATCGCATTGAATTTTATGAGCATGCGCACTAGTACGATGTTTAATTCGGCATGCCGGTCTAGCCCGCCTTGTGCATTCACATGAGCCCGTTTATGACAAGATCCCGCTTCGTTTAAGCGACATCCCGGTAAAACGGGTCAGTCCGTCTCTCATATGAATCAAATTTGAAATTATATTTAAATACTAAAAGAGGTGAGATCTTGCTACTGCCGGGCAAGCTCGGTAAAGCGGGCAAGCCCGGCTCATATGAACAGGCCCTTATATACATACACTTGAAGTTCTAAGCACCCAGTATATAACTTATGTTTAGATTATGTGTATAACTTACACTTTCCATAATTACAAATTGTTTATCTCTTGCAAATAAGTGTTTCATTAGCGTTACACAAGTTAATTGTATTCAAGTAAATCTTGAATGCAATGAAGCTTGGTATGTTGGCATGGCTACTATGTAAAAGAGAACATGCATGTTAACGTCTGATTGGATCTAGGTGCTCTTACATATTCAGTCATAACAAATATATATAATCAAAGTTTTATTTTGACGAAACTTTTGTGATGGTTCAAAACTTATTATTGCAAAAAAAACTTGTCCGTCGTGAACATTTGAAAGTGGTAGCCGGTTTTCTTACGGCAGACGTCGAATTATTTTAACGATTCATTTTATTCAAACAAACATACCTACGTATAGCTTAATCGAAGTCCTTTATAATTTATTTTGACTGTGGGTGCTGATCCAATCTTGCATCACTATAATTACAGGATTTACAAAATGCGTATATTATAAATATACTTACAGCTTTCCATTAATTTATATTCGCTGTTTCATGGCTTAAGTAAGTACATCATTTTTCAAAGCATTTGAATTTTTACAATAGGCAATATAGCTCTTCGATGTCATAAAACCTTGTGATTTTCAAGTTAACACCATATATCTAAAGTGATTCTTGAATGATTGATTGTTCAGATGACACCAAGAGCACATTCAAATGAGCATACATAGAAATAGAGACTTCCCGAGAGCTCAGGTAGCAACAACTTTGTTCGAACTTTTCAATGCAAATTAAAGTTTTTTAAATCTAACCGCGACTTGCGAGAATTAGACACACTCCAAAGTGTTGTTTACTAACAAATCAAAAACATTAAACAAGATTCCAAAATCCCAAGAAGCGTGTTTTTAGTATACTAAGCATTGCGGCGGCTCTAGTAAAAAGAAGAAGTTTTTGCCTATAAACTTAACAGAATTCTTTGCTAACATTGACTGAATTAACCGAGGAAGTTCTTGTGCATGAACTTAACGGAAATTTTTGCAAACCTTGACTGAATTAACCGAGGAAGTTTTTATTTATAAACTTAACGGAAATTTTTGCTAACATTAACTAAATTTTGATGCAATTCACCGAATCACAAAGCACAACATTGACTGGGATTCGGCAAAATGCATCACTTACAGTACTGACTATAGACAACGGCTTACATTAGAAAGTTGGTATACCAACTTGGAACAAACCCCCCTGAACAGATCACAGCAATTACCGGCACCTTACAAACGACTTATTCACAATACAAACAAACGATCAACTAAAAACACTACACCTCAAACTAATTCACAATGACAATAAGCAATTGACACCCACACATTACAACTAAAAACGTCACACCTAAATCACACATCACAACTAAAAATAAAATATATCACACTACACTAACAATGACAATACACATTTCTGTACACACAATACAATGACGTAAGAACCAGATAACAAATACGGCTAACCTGACGTTTACTCCTCATTTGACTCTGAAGATGACTACCGCTAAGGTTGTCGAAACGTCAGTCAACAACAACAAAATCAGTCCTTCTCAGGACTTTATTAACCTGGACGATCATCATTTACAAACATATTGACTAAATTAACCGAGGAAGTTTTTATTTATAAACTTAACGGAAACTTTTGCTAACATTGACTGAATTAACCGAGGAAGTTCTTATTTATAAACTTAACGGAAATTTTGCAAACATTGACTGAATTAACCGAGGAAGTTTTTATTTATAAACTTAACGGAAATTTTTGCTAACATTGACTGAATTAACCGAGGAAGTTTTTATTTATAAACTTAACGGAAATTTTTGCAAACATTGACTGAATTAACCGAGGAAGTTTTTATTTATAAACATAACGGAAATTTTTGCTTACATTGACTGAATTAACCGAGGAAGTTTTTATTTATAAACTTAACGGAAATTTTTGCTATCATTGACTGAATTAACAAAGGAAGTTCTTGTTTATAAACTTGTCAGGAATTTATAACTAGCACAAACCTAACCATAATTAAAAAAGGAAATTCTTAGCTAATTGTTTTCAATATGAAGTTATTAACTCAAAATACAACATGTTGATAGAAACTTAAAGAGCTGTAATCTTCGCGTAAAAACTATCTTATCAAGGTCGATAGATGCCAGATATAATCATGCAATGTGCAATTAGTGAACTGGAACCACAGATACCGTTGTATTATAAGGATATATAGGTCAAGTTTATTTTCAACTTTGAGCTCAAAATGACCAAATATTCTCATTGTCCAGGCTACTGTTCAAATGATAAACTTCAAATTATCATGCAAAGTATATTGTTTCAAAAGGTTCAATGATTTTGCGCCACTCGTTATTTTTTAACAAACAGTCTTTATATATCAATGTCAACCTTGTTTTTATTGTTAGAGACGCGGACTAATGTTTATAAGAATTTTTTATTTCCATGTTGTTCAACGGCTTCCATGCACAATCTGTCACATCCATTTGGTCTTTCATAATAGCACAAGCATTTCTTGTTACAACCATAATTTAACATTTACGACATTGACTACGAAGTGTCAAACAAAGAATGTTGACTTGCGTATATAAAGTTGAATGAGAGCGACAGGAAACAAAAACTTTAAAATTTATTGCACCATGCTCGGTCAAAATTCAGCTTTTACAGTACTTTCCACAAACTACATAGATTCTTTAGAAATCAAAACATCTGTCAACGTTACTCTTATCTTTAACTTATTATTAAAGAATGGCGCAGGGGCGGATCTAGGGGTAGGCACCATAGGCAAGTGCCTATGGTGAAATTACCAAAATATACTTCGACTTAGATTCGATACGAATTTATCGAATTATGAAACTATGAATAGCACTTTATCGCAATCAAATCATCTGACTTTTGTTTAGAAATGTTGTGCAATTAAATGACGTAATTTTGATATGAATCGTAGTCCAGATGCGTATGATTATCTATAAAGCTCCGTGTCGTTAGGCAAAGCAGCCATTTTGCCTAAGTCAAGAAGGCGATCTAGCCATTTGATTGGTTGTTAGCAATTTGCCTAAACAAGATGAATTTGCCTAACTTGACATCGTGTATAGGTATTCTGATTGGGCAATTTTTTGCAACCGTATGCTTTCATTGGTCAATTTTTTTTTGCCTAACTTGAGCAATTCCAACCAATCATTGCTGTTGATAAGCATAGTTGAGCTAGGCAAATTAGGCAATTGAAAATTAACATACACTCGTATTGTTTCTGAACAGCCTCTGTGCTCAGTTTACGGTTTTGTGATATTTTATGTCTTCATTGTGTTGTGGTAATTTATACGAGACTGCTCAGTCTGCGTTGGCCAAAAACGATTTAAAATGCCTTAATGAGCTTTATTCTCGTTTATTGGTCGACGTTCGACCTATGTTTACTAACGAGCAGCTGTTAGATAGAATTTATGACCCCGACCATACTCTGAGTCGAAATTTTGGAGTTGAAATATATGTGCCAAAGCACGCTCATGACGGAAAGACTTGTACTGCAATAAGGTAAATATATTATAATTATATATATCGTATTGTAGTATTTATATATACGTGTAAAATGGTTAAATCTCAATTTCGCTAGGCTATATCTTTGTCTACAGTCAGCAATTCATTCATACAATGCAATCAATCTACCAAACAAAATATTAATTTCTTTTCTTGAATATGTTTTAAGATCTGAAGCTTCTGGCAATTGCCTCTACAGTTCAGCTTCCCTAGTTCTGGTAGGTAACAATGCATTGGTCCCTACTTTGCGAATTTTAACATCGCTTGAGCTATTTATTCATGCTGCTTTTATGCTCAACACCCATGCTTTTTGTCTGTTATAAGTGAGCACAGTGATTACTTTGCCCAAAGCTTAAACAATCTTTTGCCTTTGTCAGTGTCTAAAGAATGTTTAGACACTGGATATACAACAGATGAACTGGTAAAACAGGAGGCTATTTTAAATTGTAATGACTAGAAATGGTCATCTTTTCTTTGTATTTTGGGCCTATCTTCTGTTTTAGGTAAAAAATTCATACTTTTATCCTTATTCTGGTGAAAGTAGATATAAATTGTTATTTAATCGTATTGTTCAGCCCCGGTTATTAAGCCAAAGAGGTTTGGATGCTATTAATATTTTGTTTTGTCATGAAGGATCTGTACAACCAGGTGAGACTTTTCAGTCTAATCATTTTGTGCCTCTCATTTTCCATGCCCACAGGTTGAAGCGAAAATTGTCTAATTCCTGTACACAGTCTAATTCTAGCAGCTCAACAACAGAGAAACGAAAATTTGTCAAAATTTTTCCAAATATTGCACCAAAACAGTTGACATTTCAAATTTTTACTTCAACTAATAGGCCTGCTGCCCAACCAACTTTTAAAAGGATGCCCAATGAGAGTTTTCTTCTGCTGCAGCTCTTGCTCAGACATTAAATAAAGCCAATAGTCTTTTGCTTCACACATCATCCCAGGAACTATTGCCTGGTATTCCAACTTCTGGTGATATGCAACCTGCTGTTTTAACCCATAATTTTGATGTTTCCTTGTATAGGGAGAAAGTTAAGGGTATGGATAATTCTGAAATATGTCATTTGATAAAAAATGTATATAAACCAGATAAAAAGTATCATTTTCCTAAATCTAATGGCAGATCATTTAGGCATGATTGGCTAGACCAGCATGAATGGCTTTGCTATTCACCTTCACAAAATGGTGCGTATTGTCTATCGTGTGTGTTGTTTGGCAATAGATTCCCAGGCAAGGCCAGTAAAGTAAAAAAGTTGTTTACTGAACCTCTTCAAGATTGGAAGAATGCTAAATGCTCTTTCACTCAACATGCTGGAAAAAGTAAAGGAGGGAAGTCGGTTTGCATGCATCCACATCACCAATTTTGATGCTTTGCGTTCCCAAATATCAGGTACTCTGCAGCCTATCGAGATGATCATGGATGCTGGTATCAAGAAAGAAATAGAACAGAATAGGGAAATACTATCTCCAATTATTGATTCTGTCATTTTTTGTGGACGTCTAGGTTTACCTCTTCGTGGGCATCGTGATGATTCCAAGTATCACCCTACTGTTGGTTGTTATTCATCTGGAGGGGTTGGTAATTTCATTGAAACACTCAATTATGGAGTTAGGAGAGGGGATAAAGTTTTAGAAAATCATTTAAAGAATTGTGGTAAGAATAGAAGTTATATTTCTAAAACAAGTCAAAATAAAATCATTAAATGTTGTGGCCAGGTAATCAGTAATCAGATTATTTCTGATATCAAAAAAAGTAAGTTTTTTTCTGTTATTGCTGATGAAGCATCTGATTCTTCACATAAAGAACAAATGTCTCTTGTTTTGCGCTTTGTTGATACCGATATGAATATCAGGGAAGAATTCATTTCATTTCTTTTGTAAGTGGGGACTAAGTGGTGCTCAACTTGCCAAGCTACTTTTAGAGGCTCTAAAGGAACTGACTTTATCAATAGATGATTGTAGGGGGCAAGGTTATGATGGGGCTGGTTCAGTTGCTGGTTGCACTAATGGTCTAGCAGCTCAAATTTTAAAGCTTAACCCAAAGGCTCTTTATACACACTGCTATAGTCATAGGTTAAACTTATCCATTTGCGATTCTTTGAGTATACGTGTTGTCAATGATATGTTGAAACATGTTAACAATGCCACTAATTTTATTAAAATTTCCCAAACTCGCAATATTCCCTTTGAAAAACATATACGTAATTCAGAAACAAACTCGAAAAAGACTAGATTAACAGACGTTTGCAAAACTAGATGGGTAGAACGTATCGAAGGTTTAGATACATTCCAAGAGCTTTTGTACCTGTATACACCACCCTTAACGATATGTCTGAAAATCTAGATGGTGAGTTCAAACCGTCGCTTCAGTCTGATGCCTCATCTTTGTTTCAACTTATTGACAGGTTTGATTTCGTCGTTGCTTTAGTTATCACGAGAAATATTCTTGATTCAACTCTTCCAGTAACACAGTTATTACAGGGTAAGAGTATCGATATAATGGATGGTATTCATTTAATTTCAACTTTGAAAACTGAGGTGGTGAACATGAGGAATTCCTCTGATTTTTATCATGACACCTGGTATGACGAAGCGCTTGAACTGGCAGCAAAGTTGGCATTGAAGAATGGAAACCAAGAACAGTGCGCAAACAAACGACCAGGAAAATATTCCCCACACAACCATTTCTGAGTATTATAAACGTGCAATTACTCTTCCTCTACTAGATCATTTGCAATCTTCTTTAGAATCACGATTCGACCTTGAGAGTGTGAATGTCTATAAAGGCCTTAGCATTGTACCGACGAAAATGATGTCCATGACAAGAGATGGGGTGGATTGGAAAGAGCCATTCAAAACTGTGGCTAACTTTTATTATGATGATTTGCCAAATCCTTTGGCCTTAGATGCTGAACTTAGGTTGTGGTACACTTATTGGGAGACCCACTGCGGCCTCCTTCCTGATAACATTGCCCAGACTTTAAAATCTGTTCATTTCGCCGGATTTGAAAACATTAAAATTTTACTACGTATTTTAGGAACGCTCCCATTACCTCTTGTGAATGTGAACGATCTATTTCTTCCCTTAGGACACTTAAAACTATCAGCGAAGTACCATGGTTGGGGAACGCTTAAATGGTTTGGCCTTGATGCAAATTCATCAGGAAATTGTACCAGATATTGGTGAGGTTATTAATACTTTTGCTGTTGGAAATACAAGGCTAAAATTTGCATGAATTTATTCATATCCTAGTTTTTTATTTTGTTGAAATGTCCATATGTTAACCATTTATTGTGCGTTGTACACAATAGTAACGTCAATAGAATTTGCATCAAACTAATAGCTCGCCCGATAAAGGTTTTTTTCCCTATATACATTCCAATCTTAAAACTGCTGAGTACGTGTATGGTACTCGGCCGTTGTCGACATAAATTTACTTTCACAAAAATTGTTAAGCATAAATAGAATAATTTTTCCTTACACCAAATTTTAGTCTTCACAAAGACTCTTTATACAAAGCTCTATTTTGACTATTACATTACATTTACATTCTGCTCATTTGTTGGCAAATGAGAGTGCACATTTTAGGTGGGGGGTAAAGGGTTGGAATTGACTGGGATGGTGTAAGAAACTGAGCAATCTTACATCCATGAAATGTCCCACATAGTCACCCATTTCTAACCAAACTCCTTTTGCTATTTGCTAAAGGTGTGAAAGGCGAGTTTCTGGCGCCTTCAAAAACCAGAGTGCTCATTTTTAGGTGGGGGGTAAAGGGTTGGAATTGACTGGGATGGTGTGAAAAATTGAGCAATATCACATCCATGAAATATCCCATATAGTCACCCATTTCTAACCAAACTCCTTTTCAAAGGTGTGTAGGCGAACTTCTGGCGCCATAACCAGTCTGCTTAATCGGCTCACAGGGCTGTCCATGCCGGATCACGATTTTTTGTTTTGCGTTAAAGTGTTCCTAGGCATGCTGATGAGCCCTGATATGGGGCGAAACAGTCTTGTGTGCATTCAATATTCTGAATAGTGAAAATCAACGACCTTGTGATATGTAAGTATAAATATACAATGTTTTTATGTATTTATACGATTGAGATCTACAAGATTCTGCATAGCTGAATGATTAGACTGTTTGATTTAAACAATTTATCGAAAGCATAAATAGTGTAGTATGTTTTGCAAAGTATGACGTCATAGGTTTAGCACTGAATGACGTCATAATGTTTTGCCTATGGTATCCAAAATCCTAGATCCGCCCCTGGAATGGCGCTTCATGCTTCGTCATCAACTATTGATGCTTGGTTAGTGCTTATCGCCAACATTCTCAAATTCCCATTCCCAATTGACTGGTAACCTTCTTGATCTTCATTAGCCGACTATTCAGGCTAAAAACTGAAATGGCTAACCGTTATAAGGTTGTCGAAACGTCAGTTAACATCAACAACAACAGTCCTTCTCAGGACTCTACTAATCTGGACGATCTACATCCACAAACATGTAACGATACTTTCGGGTTCAAACCATTTAATTTATTACGAATGATGTTTTTTGGATTGCCTTCCATGTCTCTTTCAAAACTATCGAGAAAAAAAAATTGTATGTGTTTTTTTATTGTTTAAGTGCCATGCTGTGTAACATGACCATTGAACATAACTTTAAATTTGTAAACAGCAAGCTCAAATTTTTTTGTTGATTTGACGTAAAAAGTAATTTCCTCTGACGTATACGGCGCTCCACGCTGCTGAGTCTCCAATCAGTTCAACAATTTCATTTAAATAGCTACGTGTTTCTTCAAAAAGAAAGTAGCTGATGTAAAATTTTCAAATTATGGCGACCTTTGCATACTAATACAGTTTTGATAGTAACATTGTTATAAGGTGGATTTGTCCTTTAACGGACATTATTTCCTAGTATTGACCGAATTAAAAGAGGAAATTCCTCGTCGTTAACCAACCAAAAAAGGAACTTTTTATTTTTATTGATCTAAGTAGTATTGAATGAATCAAAAGAAGTTCTTGTTTGGTGACATGACACAGCTAAATTACAAGATTGAACTCATTCTCTTCACTCAGAGGTTAATATAGAATAATAAAAATATAGAAACATTAAGCATATTACTTCTTTGAAAGAGTTATATAAGAAAGAGTTATATGAAAGAGTTATGTAAAAATCTTAATTATTCAAGTGCCTCGTATTTTATTAAGTTTCCTAGTTATTTCTTTACGTCAAGAACATCCAGCCAAATGATGAAACTAGAATTGTAAAAGGACACTGTTAAATGCTTTTTAATTGCATCAATTTTTAATGAACAGTCTTTATATCAATGCAAGCTTTGTTTTGGATGTCGCTCCCTTATAGGTTGACGTCATGAAGAGCATTTAATTAGAAATTTTAGAAAGATCTCGGTTCTTTTTTAGCGAAACACAACACTCACTGTAATGCCTTGTGCTTTTATTATAACTCTTTCTTATTTTTAAATTGTTTTTTTAAAACTCTATAACATCGCGAGCAATCTATCAATAAAGTACAACGTATTTAACAGCTACATTTGGTTTGTTACCAAAATATCACAATAAGTCTTTATTCATTAATTTTATGTTAATTAGCTAGTTTTGTTGTTTTACGATAAATAAAGGCCTGTTTATTAAAGAGTAAATGTTATGTTGAAAATCCTTCAAAACTACCGATTTTAAAGCTTTGAGTCACTTTTGTAAACTTCTTCTAAGTTGAGTGAATTCGACTTTAAAATTAAAACAATCTCCAGTTTGTGGCTATGTGTGCAAACTGTTCAACATATTTAAACTATTTAAAGCAGTTCAATTACATCCTGAAACAAATTAGTCTGTATAAATTCGTAAAGGCTTCTTTATCCTCACAATTTATTGATGCTGGACACACACACATATATAAAGAGCCTCGATCTTCATCTCAACCTAAAGTGTTTACTTGTAAGACATTTGAGACAAGACAAGATGGTGAGCTTTATTTGTGCGTTGGTGGCGATTACCTGCATCGTTGTTAATATTCAAGGGTAAGCTATGGTTTCGGGTAAAGAACTTGGAAATGTTTAATGCGCTTTATTGAACGCGAAAAAGACTGTGTTAGAAACACTTCTATGGCGTATTTCTTTTTAAATTTGAATAACATTTAGTACAAATTGTCGAGTTGTAGTTAATATTCTATGCTGGGGCAGTATACAAACATGATTAACTAAAGATTTTTCAAATCAGCTCAAGCCAAGTTTTTCTTGTTTAAATTGTGTTTTGGAGGAGTAAGACTTTTATATGCATTACACCTTTTTAGTACGTTGTTAGCTCTGTCATTTATGTACTTGATATAAGTCTGCCTCAATTCCTTGTTTATAGTGTGAAATATTTCATCTGAAAACTTTTCCATGACTCACTTTACTGTTCATACTTTTGCAGAGTGAGATCAACAAACAAAAAGGAAGATTATTTAAAAGATTTCTACTCAACATTCAGCCATGACATGAAACGCACCATAAAATCTGATAAAAACAATGCAACTTTGAAATCACAAATTGCAATAATAGACGGACAAATAAAAAAACTTCAAACATATCACAAGAATCTTCAAACCCAGCACAAACATCTGCAAATCTTTAAGTTAAGTCTTCAACACAAAATCAATAGGACAGAAGTACAAACATATACACTAGTGAAATTACAACAAAAAATTAAGAAAGTTGAATTGAAAATGATTGATCTTTCGTCACAAATGAAAAAACTTGATGCCCAAAGGGCAACATTACAAACGGAGTTAAAAAGTCTTGAAAAACAATTGAAAACACTTTACATGGTAAATGAAGAACTTACAAATATTTCGGAAAAAGGTAAGAATGATTTTAAAAAAAGAAAAGACACTTATAGATTCGAGTAATGAGTAATATTTGTTCAATAAAAACAATATCTTTCATTTTATTTCTCTGTGTTAGTTAATATTTTTATAACCATCAGGAAAAGACTGCGCAGATCTTTACAGAAAAAGTGTAAGACACAGTGGAATATACGAAGTAGATCCTGATGGTAAAGGAAACTTTAAGGTCTTCTGTGACATGACGTCATCAGGTGGTGGTTGGACTGTAATTCAAAGACAAATAAAAAATGGAAATACAGACTTTTATCTGGGTTGGGCGGAGTATAAACGTGGCTTTGGTAATCTTAAATCCGAATTCTGGCTTGGATTGGACAAGATACATCGACTAACATCTGCAAGGAAAAATAAACTTCGAATTGATCTTGTAAACACGTCAGGCACTAAAAAATACGCTGAATATGACGATTTTGTTGTAAGGGATGAAAATTATAAGTATCAATTAAGTATTGGAAAATACACAGGTAAGAAAATATTGAAGAAAATGAGTGTTTGTGATAGCAAATTGCGTTGACAGATTGTACCTTAGGGCCAGTTCATTTGAGACGGGCCAGCCCGCTTATGCCAGGATAGGTAGCTTTGCCGAGATCTTGCCTCGTATATTATTTTACAATTTTCTTGAAATTGCGTTCATATGAAGAGCGGGCCAGCCCAGCTTGGCGAGATACGCTTGAAGGAAGCTAGGTTCTAACGGGCTCATATAACTGCATCAATTGGGCCAGCCCGGCTAAACAGGGCTGGAAGAGATGAGATGGCGCATTCCCTTGTCTTGTTTGGTTATTTAAATATGACAAAAACTTCAAAACAATAATGTGCAATTGAAAATAAATTTGAAAATTTCATGTTATACCACTACAATAATCGGTGGAACTCACTGGTAGCAATCAGATTGTTGAATGTCTGAGTCTAAACACAATTTAATTTTCCCACAAAATACAATGTTTGTTGGCAGAAATTAAATACAACATTTCAGCCTGGCCAGCCCGCCTCATATGAATGCGAATACAAATTGGCCCTGCAAGCCAGCTAGTCCAGCTTTAAGTGGTTTTAACGTTTTTAAAATACAAATAACCAGAAAACTATAGAACCATTTCTACTTTTCAGGAACTGCTGCGGATCAATTATCCTATCACAATAACATGAAGTTTTCAACCAAAGATTCAGATAATGATAAAGATAGTAGAAATTGCGCTACTTCCTTCAAAGGTGCTTGGTGGTATAAAAGTTGTTATGGTTCCAACCTAAATGGTAAAAATATGTATTGGTCTAGTTTTAACGTGAAAACAAGTGAAATGAAAATTAAACCATGATGACTTTTCATAAATAACTGCAGTTTTTTTAGTTTTACCTTGCTGTAAGCTGCCTTCTTTAAAGTGGGCTGCCTTCTTTAAAGATTATTTTGTAATTATTATACTTTATTCTTCATGGCATGACTTACACATTCATATAGCACGTTGTGTTTTTCAAAAACAAATCATAAAAGCAAAGGATTGATATCTGCTTCCTCTTAAATTAAAAATTTGCAAAGATGATCGTCATGAAATTAATTGTACTTGCTTTATTGGCTTCTTTGTACCGTTAATATTACCGTTAAAATTAACACAAAACTTCATCCTTATGTTAGAGAGATAAAAAACGCTCGTTTTTCCTCACGTCACATCCAAAATTTTATTTCATGCTTTTTCAATTTTATTCCTTTATGGGCAGTGGCTTAGCCAGCCCTCAATTTATTCATAACACGTAATTTTTTATCATCAGCATCATTCGTTTTATTAAAAATTCATAGTATTATGAACAATAAATTATTTACATAGCAAGAAGAAACTTGCGGGTTTGCTACGCCACTGATCATGTGTTAGTTTCATGATGTACGTATATTTTTCATTATTTCCTTATGTGTAAAATTAAACACTATTCCTATTAATCCTATCATGTAATTTAATGCAATGTAATTTTTTAATTAGATTATTTATTCAGCTTGTTGTATCTAAGACTGTTGAAGATGTCTTATGTGCTTTGACAAAGAAATGTCTTCAATGAAAAAACTTTCATGCTACAAATTTATTTAAAAAATGCACGCTTTAAAATATATAATTATTGGGCTTACCTCTTAATGATGGCCCATTATATTTTAATAGAAGATAAAAGAATGGAATATGCCTTATTTTGCTTAGTATATCTTACAACTTAGCGCATGTTAGCTACCCATAAAACACTGAGCATGACAATTAAGGCTTCCTTTGTGCAAAGGAAAACGATTTTTCTTGTTGAGTCAACACAATAAACAAGTGTTTCTCAAAATACATGAAAAGTCGATGTTTCTTTAAAGAACTACAAAAAACTTTCTTACTGTTATTAAAAAAATCATGAAAAATAGCAAAAATATACCACCTAATGTGGAAAAGATTATTTAAAGGCATTTGACTTCACCGCAGCCTTTAATGTAAAAAATATTGGGACAAATTCGTTTCGTTGACAACAAGCCAGATAGGGTACAGATACCAGTGCTTAGACCATCCATGACAAATAATCTACATTATAAAGCATTGATTTAATACCATTTGATTTGGATATGGGTTAGGACGAAATATCTTAAATGCAACCTATAAATAGTTACTCACTTCCAAGACATAGAGATATGTGGTCAATTAAGGTAAACCTCAGATTGTCTGTCAAAAATTGTCCATTTTACTTCAAAGGAGATCCAATCAACAAAAAAGTTACATTAAATTTGTAAAATTCATAAAATAATCTTAATGTATATAAGATGCTGTTTTTTTCCTCATTTTGTGTAAAAATTTCACGTTATTTACTAATCATAAACCTTTATTGAAAGTACTCTCATTCAGTTGTGCTATGTCATACCTTTAGTTCAAGAACAAGACTACAGTGTTTGTGTAATTATCTATTTAACCATTGAAAGATTTAATTAAAAACTGCAGAGGGATGTAATAACAAATGCAAATCCTTTTTCCCACCTATCTCTTAAAGATGTTAGATAATTTAAACTAGGCTCGTAAATTAGAGTAGAATATGATTAACGGAACAGTACGATCAAAATGTTTTGTAGATATTAAAAGACTAGCTTCATCAATTACTTTGAGCAGAATAGCAATGTTCAGAGAAGCAGTTTTTGTTCAAACCTCTTTTATTTGAAATGTTGAGTCTATAGTAAAATTTTCCTCTAGCCATTGTTGATGTATAACTGCCACTTATTAATTTGGATTTTTCGACAATATTTTTTCCATTCATGCCCTGAATTGCTGTCTGCAAGTCTGTGAAAATTTGCACAACAGTTTTTTTATAAATAATTAGATTATAGGTGGTATTTGTGTTACGTCATGGCCGTTATGTTGGTTATCAAATACAAAAGAATATTTTATTCATACTGTTGTGGGCACCAGCCATCGTGGGCAAGCTACATTGTTTGAGAATTCCCTGGAGGTGGGCTTAACCCTAGCATTTTTAACTATATAGTCTATACAAAAAGCAAGGCTGCCATAGCGATGGTTTTTAGTATTCAACTTTATTAAAAATTCATATTTTTTGCTCGGTAATATCATGGTAGCTTTGCTTCCATGCACTTGGATTTAGTTCAAGCTGACTGAGTTTTGTTCTTTTGTATAGTCGTCCACATTTGACAGTGAAATGAAAGGCTAACATAGAAAGATATTGATTGAAATGTAAGGCCATCTAAACTCTTCACCGTAGGATGAGGAAGATAAACTCAAGTTGCTTGAGTATCTTTTTCTGCATGTACGGGGCTTCAAATGCGTAACTGTTTCTGTGAGGCAAAAACCTGGCTTCTTCTAGTGATCGAGAGGGCAGAAGTCTATATGACATTGAGTCAGTAGTCATGAGGCTGAATGTAGCTAACGAGCAGTTTGACAAGATTATGGAGTTTATGAAAATTTTTGTCCTTGAACTCGGGAATATGTTTATACATCTAACGTGAGTGATAAATGAATGTTTACTAAATATAGGTTTTATGTGTGATCTCTAAGAAAAACAATCATTATGATTTTACGTACGAGATGCATCCAAATACAGCCCATCAATACCAAGCATATAGAGCTGTTTCTAAATAATTGTAGCTAGCAAAGTCTTGTAGTTATGGTAAATAAATCTTGCAAATTACTAAAAGAAAACCAACTCAGTCAGTAAATTTGCTTTGGCAAGCCATTTAAGAACATGTCTATTTTAAAACATGTCTATTTGGTCGTAACTAAAGTATAAAGCATATCTTGAAGCCTAACTCACTAATTAAATTGTGATATGTTAGATAATCTTGTCTGGCTTGAATACGTAAGCCTGCCTATCCCAATATGTAATTAAAGCTTCAACTAAATATGTCAATTTTCATCGTCAATTTACACATTACATGTTTGAAGAAGGACCATGCACTCCCATGTCTTTATGTTTGCTATTTCTGGCTGAATTCCCAACTTATGTAAACACAACTAAGAATGCTACTTACCTTTTTTGAATTTGATACCATTGTCAGAACAAGTGTTCAATTAAGGTACGTTGGAAACGTCAAAATGAAATGTTGCTGACCACCACACGTCTGCACCTATAAAAAAAACAAAACCATATATAATGCTGTTTACTCTGTTTACGTTTTTCTATGCGTAAAAACGAAAGACTAAGTTGTTATTTTTCATATTAAAACCTTTTTCTGCAGTTTTTTTAGTTAAGTAGGTTGTAGATAGACTTTGTGTAAATGCTATACGCCACTGATTAAGTCCCTTAAGTGATATTTGCTCTTTCCTTGCGCAAGTTCCAAAATTTTTCAAGTTTTGGAATCCTTTTCTTGAATTCGGGTATTATCGTCGTGTGTAGAATCTACTTCGTCTCTTCTGCTTCTCCTTCTTTTTATTTATGTCAAAGATAAAACAAATCCACTTGACTTTATGAGCAGTATATTTAGCTTATTTAAACTATATTACTATATATTTAGCTTTTGTTCAGTTTGAAGATCATGGAATGGATTTAAAAGAATTTCTAGAATTTCTGTTTCGACAAAGCAAAACATGCATGAAATTAGTATCATCACAATAATATATAATAATCATTAATTTGTCGGAAATGAAATGAATACAAATCAATAGTCAGTGGTCATATTAAACTTCAGATCTTGAACTTTCTTTATTATTGTAATCAAATTATTGATCAATTGAAGGCTGCATCAAAGCACTGTTTATGGCAATGGAATAAAGACTTATACTTCTTAATAATTGAGGAAAGATATATATGCTTCTGAAGTTTGCTATTTTTGACTTCAGTCTATGGGGGCTCCTTTATTGTTTCATTATCTCTGCTGTATTGTTCAAAACTTGTTTTAAATATTATGACTGTATTTTTGAAAAACACTCTTATTATACCTTTTCGAAAAAAATAGCATCTCCCAAATTTTTAACATGGACCTGTATGTAAACAAGCTCAAACCGATATGTTTGCAACAGCAAAAATATTTGAGTGATGGTAGAATGATAAAGCAATCACACATCTATTATTTTGGATCTTGATAATTGATCATACAAGGTCATGAACCTATAAGAAAAAGGAATTTATTTTCTTTGAAAATGCGTTTGCCTTTTTTAGTGATATATTGCTTCAGCTGTCGTTTGTTCTGTGCACTTTCACCTACGTCTTACTTTGAAATTGATGTTTTTTTTAAAAGAAATTATCATTAAACTTGTGCATTAAAATAACATTAATAATAAAAATAGCACTTTCTTGTACCCCAAAAGCTTTAATTTGCATTCACTTGACAATAAAAATACTTTTCGGGCATTATTGCAAATATTATGGCTGTAGATATCGTAATTAAAAACCCATTATGGCAGGACTTTAGCGAAAATTGATATAAGCTCACAAAACAAAACAGGACATCTTTAAAAGTTACTTTATTTTAAATGATTTTGAAAAGTTTTTAAGTTTTTGATTAATACAGACCTGGTGAATTTAGCAATCATTTATTAACCACGATATGTGAAACGAAGACATATTTGAGTACTTAATGATTAATAACTTAGTAGTTTTAACTTAATAAGTTCTCTATCACATAGGATATAATTAGTGCGAACAATGTTTTAAGATAATGTTCACCAATACATCAATTTATCAATTATCATGAAGAAAGAAAAAATTTTACAAGCTTACGCCTCCTGGATTTAAAGAAAAATCAGCTCTTATGGCCTTACAGCTAGATTCCCTAAAATATCCCAAAGTGCTTTATTATGCAATCTAAGAACAGTTTACATGCAGCTGTGCATGTACAAAATATAATTTATTCTTCATGATGGTGGTTATATAAATGTTCTCAATTTTCCTGTCTGTTGTTTTTCGTTAACATGAGAATGACAACCTAGCCATTTTGATTTCTTACTAAAGTAGCACACTAGTGTACATTTTAATCTCAAAGAAACAAATTGTACATGTCATATTTAACGCTTGACTTATATTCTAGCAATCTAGTAACAAAAACATTGTGGTTAGAATGACTATAAACAAGGCTATGGTAATCTTATTTCTGAATTCTTGCTTGGATTGTATGAAATACGCTAACATCAGCAAGGCAAAATAAACTTTGCGGTGACCTGGGAGACTGGTCAGAAAACAAAAAACATGTTGAATATAATAACTGTTACATGTTTGTAAATGTAGATTGTCCAGGTTGGCATAGTCCTGAGAAGGACTGTTTTTGTTGTTGTTGACTGACGTTTCGACAACCTTAGCGGTAGTCATCTTCAGAGTTCAATGAGGAGTAAACGTCAGGTTAGCCGTATTTTTTAGCTGGTTCTTACCTCATTGTATTGTGTGTACAGGAAAAGTGTGGGTGTTAATTGTGTATTGTCATTGTGAATTAATGTGAAGTGTAATGTTTTTAGTTGATCGTTTGTTTGTATTGTGAATAAGTCGTTTGTAAGGTGCCGGTAATTGCTGTTATCTGTTCAGGGGGGTTTGTTCAAAGTTGGTATACCAACTTTCTAATGTAAGCCGTTGTCTATAGTCAGTACTGTAAGTAATGCATTTTGCCGAGTCCCAGTCAATGTTGTGCTTTGTGATTCGGTGATGTTCGGCAATGTAATTAGTTCTGTCTTGTTTCTTTGTACCTCGTTTGTGTTCAGTAAGTCTTATGTTTAAGTTCCTGCCAGTTTCCCCGTTTCACAAGTTCGAGACTGGACTAATGTTAAGGACTGTGAGTGAAAACAATATAGCAAATGATTTTAAAATGATTGGATGTCATTGTTTAATTCACGCTTTATCATTTCGTCTCAATTTAAATTAATTTTCGATATTATAGCTAGTGGACAAGAAAATGAACGAAGGAAGATGACAGGTGTCTTTAAACATTTTGAATAATAAAAAATAGCAAAAAAATGTATGCAACACAACTGCAATTTCACGAAAAGAAAAATGCGATTGCTCTTTTTTAATGTTTTTCGTGAAATGATAAACCTAATCATTAAAAAATTATAATTCTTTATGTTGAAGGATTTTCCCCAGCTATAGGAGTCTCTTTATTGTTCTTTCATAATCGCTGTGAAGTATAAAAACCTTTTTATCACCTTATGAATTAGCTATATGCATGCATTTTTTAGACTCTCTTTTTAATGAAATTTTATTCTTTGAAACATTCTTTTAAACATATAGGTTCTATGTATTTTAATACTATAGAACTTCAAGAGTGAGATATTTTTTTTCTTTAAAAATGCTTTTATCTTTTTTAGTGATATATTACTTAACGCTTCATCTGTTGTTTGCTCTGAGCACTATCATATACGTCTTACATTGACGTATATGTTTTTGTAAAAGAGCTTATCATTAAGCTTATCAAAACAGCACGCCATTGTCCGGTAAAAGCTTTTTAATTTCAGTCCAATTTGAAATAAAAACATTTTCCGGACATTAACACCATCATCATATA